TGGGGGATTCTGGGAGTGGAAGCCCTCCCCTCTTAAAGCATGCTGACCAGACAATGCTGGGAGTCGAAATCTGTACAGATTAAAATTCCTAAAGTTGAGAAACTTAAGTTCCTACAGTTGAAACCTACCAGGTTAGGAAGGGGACAGTGTCTATTCTGTAATAAGATTGTCAAATCCTGCAAGGTTTCCTGGAATGAGAAGCAGCATAAACCTCCTTCTAAATTATAGTCTCTCTCTCTCTCTCTCCTCTTTCTCCTCCCCAGTATCCTCGTCTTCACACCGTTACGAACCTTCAAGAGACGCGATTGAGGTGATCAGCCCCGCCAACTCCCCTGTCCCCACTCAGGAGAAGATGCCCCCTTACCAGCAGGAGCCCCCCAAAATGAACCCAGGAGAAAGTAAGTTTCCCTTGTGGGGGGGGGGGGAATTTAACTTTGTTCCCCCCCCAAAAATTGGGCTGCCAGGATTTAGAAGGTAGAAATCCCAGGGCTCCAAGGTGTTCTAGTCCAGTGGTTGCCAACCAGTGGGCTGCGAGAAAATTTTGGTGGTCCGCAGAGAAATCTCACCCCCAGAGCACCCCCCCAAAGCAATTAATCCAGTCTGCGCAGAAACACAGGACTGCGCCACCCACATGGCCCGCGGGAACCCTCCCCGCCTACTCCTTACCCGGTAAACTTGACCGCTAAATTGCTATTTTTCCTTTTTCCAACCTTCATCTGTTCTGCTGCGCCGGGAGATTTAGATTAGCTAGGAAGCAGGAAATGGTTGGATTTCTTGCTTTCAAGCTATCTTTAGATCTTCGGCTCTGCTTTTAAGCACAGCCGAATCTCCCTTAGAATTGAAGGTTCTGTTATTCAGTGCAGACTCATGGCAAGCAAATTTTATGTGGCAGACTGAACTAGCAGATGGCAGATAGATAGATCACTGAATGAGTCTGTGAGCAACTCAATCTGCCTGCCTGCTTTGCCTGAAAAAATCAATATTTATATAAATATTTATAATATTTACATACAATCCATGTCCAGCCAGTCACATGACCACCAAGCCACGCCCACAAATTTGGCCACACCCACAGAACCGGTTAGTGGTCCCTGGGATCTAAAATTATGAGTTTGGTGATCCCTGAGGTCCAAAAGGTTTGCGACCCCTGTTCTAGTCCAACCAGAAAAACTTGGATACCATCCCAGACAAAGGGTTCTCCGGTGAATTTCTCTTCAGATTTGAGACCAAGCTACTTGTTTCCCCACAAACACGACCTACCCCAAAAATAAGACCTAGCTTGATTTTTACACAGGTGCCCAATATAAGCCCTACCCCCCCCCCCCCAAAAAATAAGCCCTAATTAAGATCCCGCCCATTCCAGAGTAGACAGGTAAAAATTAAGCTAGGGTGGGGGTGGGGTGGTGGAACCGCCCTACTATTTCCCTTTGGAGAGTTGTAGCTAGGCCTCGCACACCCTGACGCCTGCCTTCTTCTGCAAGGCTGGGAAAGTTTTCCTGAAGGCCTCTATTGCTGATTAGAAATCTCAGGATCGATCCAGAGCTCTGTTATCCCCTGCAGAGGCCTTCAGGAAAGTCTTGCTGGCCGCAGAAGAAGTTCCTGAAGGCCTCTGACAGCAAAAAGGAGGCCGGGGGCAACATGTGCAAGTGAGGTTAGTCAGGAGATGAGAACCCCCGAAAATAAGACCTGATGCCCTTTTTTGATGGCAAAAAAAAAAAAATTATAAGGCAGGGTCTTATTTTTGGGGAAACACGGTAGCTCCAAGAAGTCTCATCTGCCTGGTTCAGGGGTGGTGATCAGCCTGGAGAAGGACAACCGTAACCCTAACCCAGTGGTAGCTAACCTTTTTGGGGCTCCTTTACCAAAAATTGTGTGCGCGCTTGCATGCTCCTTCTTGTGTGCCAGCATCCAGAAGGCAATGCGCACCCCTCCCATGCCTCCTACACATGTGTGTACAATCCCTACCCATCCCTGCTACCACCTTACTTACCTCACCGCTGATTTTGGCCCAGTTTTGAGGCCTTTTTTTTGGCCTTTTAGAGGCTTGAGGAAGGCTTCTGCAGTCTTTGCAGGCCGAAAAATAAGCCGGTTTCGTCACTTCTGGTATTTCCGGAAAAACGGGAAGTTGATGAAACGGGCCTAGTTTTCGGCCTGCAAAGCCTGCAGAAGCCTTCCTCAAGTCTCTGGGAGTCTGAAAAAGGCCCCAAACCGGCCCTAAATCAGCTGTGAGGCGCGCATGTGCAGTGAGGTAAATTTGCCCGCGGCTCGCAGAATGGGTCAGCCAAACACGCGTGCCGTAGGTTCGCCATCGCAGCTTAATCCCACATCCTCAATTTACAAGCCTTCGTTTAACAACGATTCAGAGTTGCAACGCTACTGACCGTTCCCGACTTAAACAACCGCTCATTTAGTTCGTTCCCAGCCTGCTCCCCGTGTGCAAATCTCTCTTCCCCTTCCTTTCGGGCCACACAGGGGACTGCAGCCGCCAGTACGAAGGGTCCGGCCATCCTTACAGACCCGCGCAGGATTCGCCTTCGCCACAGCAACCTCCGCCCCAGCAGGCTCAGGCACCCCCGGCACCCCAGGCGGGGCCTCCACCCGTCCCGACTCACCGCGTGATCACCTTGGCCGACCACATCTGCGTAAGTTTGCACTTGGGGGGTCTCCGTGATTTTTTTTTTAATTTTTATTTCCCTGAGGGCTCCCTGAGCCTGGTGGTTTCCTTGCAGGACGTTTCATGACCCCAACTAGGTAACATCATCAGGGCTTCGAGGGAGAGGAGGTTTGTGGAATGGATGAGGAGAGGAGGGGAAGGACAGAAGGGGAGGGGAGGGTGGCAGGGGGGAGGGAGGTGGAAGAGGAAGTGGAGGAGTGGTGTTCTCTGAGCTGGGTTGTTTTTTTGCAGATGTTTCATGACCCAACTAGGTAACATCATCAGTGCTAGAAGGATGTGCGGTTTGCTCTCTGTTTATACAGTATACAGCTGGCTTGCCCTGTCAGTGATGGATGTTTGTGTTCTCAGTGGACCCTTAATTAGACTATGATAGATAGATAGATAGATAGATAGATAGATAGATAGATAGACAGACAGACAGACAGACAGACAGACAGACAGAAATGATAAGAGAGAGAGAAAGAGATGGATAGATGATAGATAGATGGATGGATGGATGGATGGATGGATGGATGGATAGATTGATAGGTTGATAGGTAGGTAGGTAGATAGATGATAGATAGGTAGGTAGGTAGGTAGATAGATAGATAGACAGACAGACAGACACACATGATAAGACAGAGAGAGAGAGATGGATAGATGATAGATAGATGGATAGGTGGATGGATAGGTAGGTAAGTAGGTAGGTAGATAGATAGATAGATAGATAGATAGATAGATAGATAGATAGATAGATAGATAGACAGACAGACACAGAGACAGACAGACAGAAATGATAAGAGAGAGAGAGAGAGAGAGATGGATAGATGATAGATGGATGGATAGATAAATAGAAGAGAATATTTGTTGCTCAAGGTTCAGTTGAATCCCTATTGCTCTGTAGTTTTCTTGCAGACGTTTCATGACCTAACTAGGCAACACCATCAGTGCTAGAAGGGAGATGGGGTTGCTTTCTGTTTACAGACTAGTGGCTTGCTCTATCAGTGTTGGTGGGGGTGTGATTTTTTTTCCCCCCTTGGTGGTTCCTTAGTTAGTATTCCTGTTCTGTCCCAGGTTGAGCAGTAAACAGAGACCAAAACCCCCTCCCTTCTAGCCTTGATGATGTTCCCTAGTCCGGCTATGAAACGTCTGCAAGGAAACAGCCAAGCTCAGAGAGCAGCAAGGACCCCTCCCAGTTTTGACCCTGAGCTACAAATATTATCCTCTTGTTGAGATGCTAGAATAAAATAATATCGTGTGTTTTCTGCTTTGCCTCTTGCTGTCAGGATTCCGGCAGTTCCTCGCTTTTAAATCCCGAGTCTCGAGCCAAACTTCCAAAACTAAGCAGGATTTATTTCAGAATTAACATGTCCGGCACTGCCTGGGTGTAGCCGACTCTGAGGCACATCATTCACTGTCGCCCTTGACCCTGGTTTTCCCTCCACCCCTTGGGTGTATCGTCATTCCTATTCTCCAATGGGACACTTCCATAGCCCAGAGTCATCCATCATGCTCTCCAGTTAGAATTGTGCCCGGCAGAAACTTCAGTCACCTAGTTACTATCTTTGAAAAAAACATTTACGGAATGCACTTTCAATTTCCAAGCTGCCGCCCTACTTTCTGTTGGCAACTCTAAAAAGGCCCTAGAAATATTTTATGAGTTGACACTCGATTCTTGCTGGAGTGTTGAAAAGGAAAGCGGGCTAACAGGTGATTCTCTCTCTCTCTCTCTCTCTCTCTCTCTCTCCCTCTTTTTATTGGGATCTGTTCCTTCCTCGCCCAGCAAATCATCACGCAGGATTTTGCCCGCAGCCAGGTCTCCACCCAGCCTTCCCTTCCGACTCCCACCAGCACATTCCAGACCTCGGCGCTGACTTCTGTGTCGACGACAAACCGGGCCAAGGCTTCGAACCGCTACAGCCCCGACATCCAGGTGCAAGCCGCCCCCCACCAGCGCCCGGGATCCCGGATGTCTCCCGAAAACATCTCTGAGAAAAGCAGGGGAAGGTAACCTCTTGTCTCTGGTCTTTCAGTTCCCAGGTTTTCTTCTTCTTCTGTTCCTTTCCTCCTTTTATCTCGTTCTTTTGTTCTTTCTCTTAACTTTGTATTTCCTTTCCTCGTCTTTCCTTTTCTCCTTCTTTCCTTTCACCCGCTGACATCTCTCTCTCCCTCCCTCCCTCCCTTCTTTCCTTCCTATTTTAATTCTTTCCCCCTTCCCTCCTTTCATTCATTCCTTCTTCCCTTTCTTCCTTCCCTTTCCTTCACATCTTATTTTCCTTTTTTCTAATTTCCCTACTTCCCTCCCTCCCTCTTTTCCCCCTTCCTCTCTTCCTTCCCTCCTCTCTCTCTCCCTCTCCCCCCTCTTTTTCTCCTTCCTTCCTCCCTCCCTCTTTTTCTCCTTCCTT